ATTCTAAACAAACACACAATCCGGGTCATCCAAATGTTACCAATAAGTGAGTGCCACTTAAGCAACAAATAGGAATGGGTAATAAAACCCGGCCCACAAGGTGTTAAAGAGAACCACCATAATAGGCCCAATAAGCCCACAAGATTCAAGATTTCAACCCTTCATTTCTTCAAGAATGCATTCGTGGGACGAGTTTCTTTTACTATCTTGTATCTTTTCATTATCTTCTTCATTTTGTAATAGATTTCATTTCTATTTTCATATTCTATTTCGATTGTGTAATGGGTTAAGTATTTAAAGTTGGGGGTTTATGATTTAGCTTGACCTAAGTTTCATTAATATCAATATTTACCATTTAATGCTAAAGTTGCCATTGTTATTGTACATTTTTTATTGTATTTATGTTTCCATCATTTATGTGGCCAATATATGATTGTGTTAGGTGGTTTGTACAATCATTGAGGGATTGTTGTGCTTTCTAGATCAAAATAATTAATGTCCCAAGTTTTTTTAAGAGATGGAGATATACTCCTAATCCTAGGTGACCCATTGAGTTATTTTCACTATGATTTCATACAGTTGGTTGTGTTTTTTATCAACATCGAGATATAGTTGGTAAAACCAATCAAGTAGAGTTATTTTTTCTCGAGGGAGGTAACTAACTAAATTGGAAAATCGGATTTAACGTTACATACTAGGTGATTTACATTTCCGTTTTATTGAGATATTAATGAAACAACGATCAAGTGATATCGTAAATCCCAATTCATTTAAAATCCAAAATGTTATCACTTTTACCATTATTAGTTTATGGCATGCTACATGTACCGAATTTTTTTACCTAATCTTTTACCTACTACTCACAATAGGGATGGGGACCACATTTTGGAAATTTTTAAATACACGCGGGCCCTGCGCATTATGTGAGGACTAATCCAGTATGTACAAACCATTATGTACAAATGGATTAACCCTTAGTTTAATTAAAGTCTAAAATTATTTTCTTTTCATTTCTAACTTCAAAAAATTAAATTTTGTATTTTTATCGTTAATTTGAATCAATTGTCGTGTAATTGGAAGAAACACTCTTCGAGGGATCGACTTGAACTCAACATCCACTTTATTACTTGAACACGACCCTTGCACTTGCAGTTTGCACTTTCATATCGAACACGAAACATGAAATTTGTGGGCACCAATAGATATTGAGCTAATTGTGTCACGATGAACTCAACTATAAGGAACTTGAACTTTTGATAAAAACGTGATAACACAAAGAAGGGTAGCGTCTACCTTAAATCTTGAAAATATCGAAAATGTGATTGACAAGTATTACACAGGTAAAAATCTGGAGTTCTCACCAAAAATCACAAGAAACTCTGCAGGTTAACGAGGTGCCCACCATAATTTCAGAAGAATATGCTCACATTATAGTCAATACTTGGTTATCAGAGTAGATTCAACCACTAGATCCCGTTGTCTTTGGTGACCAAGTTTACTTATTCGACCTTATTCTTACTAGTTTTTAGCAAGACTTCAATCCAAATTTGTACATCATATGAAATTTCAAATTTGAATTACTCAATCCATTGTCAGTAGAAACTTGACTAAATTATATGTTGCCTCTTATAGTATGTTTGGTAAGATAATCTTACAATATGATCAGAAGATGCAAAAACCAAAAAAAAGGGTTTAAATTTTGATATTGTACGAGATCGAGATGATTGACATGGGTTGTAGTCTCATTGAAGAGTAAGGTTGGAAAAAAAAAAAAAGAGCATCTGGTACTGCATACCTAACATGCACGTCCAAGAATTATATGTTATCCATTCCTAGAAGCAAAGAACAACAGAGCCAAGCAAGTGTAAGATCCATCAGACTAGCTAAAAAAAAAGTACGAAACTGAATTTTTTTCGTCACCTCAACTCTTTCCCTAATGCACCAAAGAAACCACTATTTCAAACTTGAAGCGTGAAGGCACTTAATGATATTGATATAGATTGTTTAATTCAGAAGATATGAAATATAATTTACAAATGTCAGAAGAAAATCTCAAGAAGTACTCAATAAAAGTAATTGGACAAATCTCGAAATTTTCTCGACCAGAAATCCATGGACAGTGAAATTTCTATCTATCCGTATAAGTATAAAGAAAGCTCCACAGAAATGAAGAAGACAGATCATAGTTTTAATCTTAGAGCCGAAAAGAACATCTTTCCGGTCGTCTAACTGCCTTCCATGTTGGTAAGCAATCCATTCAAAGATGAAACCTCGTACATTAAATGCCTGAAAGTTCTAACTACCTGATCAATCCGTCTTCGACTGAGTGGACAGTTTGTCAAGTGCGAAGAGCATGCCATACAACAGAAAATATGACCACACCTGGAAGTTGTTTTACCATGAATATATATATGGCCTCTATTCATTATTCAACAAAGTGGTAATTCATTTACTAGAATGAACCTCAAAAACTAGATGCAACAATGTACATTGATTTTAGATCATACTATTCGAGAAGCTGATGAAGTCTAAGCTTTAAAAAGTATTCAAAATTGGCTCATTTCAACTGCCAAGAGAAGCTTGAAAGAGCTATAGAAACCAAAATTGAGCTTGTCAACAGCTCAAGCTTATTCACAACACTGTATGTAGACATGCACACATAATGAGCCAATCGCGTAAATTAGAACCCAAGTCAATCATATGAAAATACACAGAAAACGAACAACAACGTAGTCACTTAGTTACTACACATAAACAACATACATGATAACCACTTCAATAGTTCTTAACCAACCATTGTTGTCTTAGTTGTCGATAATAATTTCCGAATAATGGAGAAAAAGTTCCTATTGATCATTTTTTGCAGATAAAAATATCCAAACGTAAAACAAGGGTAATAAATCAGGAGGGAACTTATATAGAAATTGCAAGGTGTACTGACACGAGACAAGATTTAAGAAACATTAATTAGGAGCAAGGAATGCCTAAACAACTTAGATCATAAGATACAAAGATGGATATGAATGCTTGAAATTTAAGAAAAACATAGTCCAAGACTGGGAAAAAAACTGAAAGGGATTAATTCACCAATGCCATGTGGTGGACATGAAACTCAGTTAAATAATTCTTGGATAACTTCAATGAATTGAAGGGACCATTGTGTTTATACGCGTATCAAACCCGTGTCAATCGATGTGCAAGCCAAATTCCAAAGTTAATAGGTAAGCTTAAACGATTCTTTATTACTTCAGTAAAATACTAAAATTGTTCATATGATACGAAGAACATTCAATCACCAACACTAACATTCCATGATGGGGATTGAAATAAGGTATGGGGAAAATGTTTGTGGCTTTTTTATAAGTGTATTTTATACACTTATTTGGATCGTCAAATGAGACTAATTGTAATTAATTTAGATGATTTATAACTTAATTAAGTATATATATTTTATTTTTTAGGTATAAATCAATGTTTGGAAGTGAAACTAGAAAAAAAATTAAAAAGGGGAAAAATGGAGGAAATTCAAAGTTCGAGGACCAAAGTGCAAATATTCAATAGTTGATTCGGACCATAAAATGATGATTGAAGGTCACACGGGATCAATTGGATGTAATTAAAAGTCAAAGGAGTGAAGGATTAAAATATAATCAATTTCCAACCTTACTAGTTATGCTTCATATTTTTAGTCGGAGATTGAAACCTACTTTTAATATAATAAACCTTCAAATTGGAAAAATACTATTTATAATTGGATCCGTTTGAGTAGCCTTTCTAACGTACTTTGAATTGTCCCAATTCGATATCAAGAGAGAAAGTTATGATAAAAGTACTTATAGCTGCACAAAGATATAACCATGCGCGGCTCTAGGACAACTTTCCTTATTTGATTGAAACTCTTTTGGAACTCAACTTGGACGTGTTTCTTGATCCAATTTCACCTTATATGATGCAAGACATGGACAAACATTGAAAGAACTATCTCAAGCCTCATAATACCATATCAAATCATCAAATTCATAAAAAAGAAGGGGCCAATTTGTATATTTTGAGAGATAAGATTAAATCATAGCAAGAATTCAATGTCAATTATATCAAGAAATTGAAGAATTCAACATTGCACTTGAAGATCAATATCTTTTGCAGTATTTCATGATCAGAATGATATTTTTCTATTATTCTTCTTGTAATTTATATAAAATCATGCTACGCTAGTTCCCTTTTTGTATTGGATGAAAATGAATCATATTATTTATTTATTTATTTTAATTCAAGACTAGTAGTTTGATATTTTTTGCATTTCTTGATTAATTTTGCATACTCGTTACATTATTTAATTGTTTGATCACAAATTAGATAATTAGTTATTTGTTGCAGTGTTGGAAGACTTACAATAAATTTAGAAACGCAACAAGATTAACACACATTGATAATAGATGTTAGGAATAATAATATAGCATATGCAATCATATAGATAATGTAAAATTTAATGTGTTCCAATTATTCAAATTCGTATTAGGAATAGACTTGGGTCGTGATTAGAATATAATTAATTTATCTTGGAAAAGAAAGTAAATACATTAACTTTATCGATTTTCAATAATGTATGAACAAAACTAAATTATATACTTGAGAATTGAAATAGATAGTAATATGCGGATTCAAAATCCAATACAATCATTCATAATTTGATACAAACAACACATTTTCATATTTCTTAGATTAATTTAGAATAAACACGAAATCAAATATCTTTTGTGTAACATAATTTGAATTCAATACAAGATTAGTAAACTTGAATCAGAAGTCTTTCCCTGTGGGGTGATACTCTATTTCGTTAAATCTATTAGTTGTCAACGACCTCATACAATTGCAAATTTCGTTCGATCACTTTTGTATTTGAAATTAGTGTTGTGGCCTAAATGAGCCTTGTTCTTTACAATAATAACATGAAATCATCTTTTTCAATGCATAGTGAACTCTACCTCTTTCACATTTCACTATGATGCTTTCTCTCCATGATATATGGGAAAGCATGTTTTGCTAGAAAATAAACTCCAAACGCTACAGAAAACCCCATTGATGCGTACTTCTACCACCTGGAAGAAATTTATAAGCCACATAAGAAGAGCAAAAGTAAACATCGTAACAGGTTTACGCAAATAAGCATATGTTAGAGAGAGAGAGAGAGAGAGAGAGAGAGAGGTTTTTTTCAATGATGGGGATTGAAATAAGAATAATGCTACTTGCAGTCGCTCACTGCAACAGTCGCCCTATGTGGCACACACACGTCAAGTGTGTATTTGATGCATTAAATGTGGTCAAAAACTACCACATTAATGCATCAAATAACTACATGTCATGTGTGTGCCACATAGGGCGACTGCAAGTAGCATTACTCTTGAAATAAACGTATGTGGCTTTTGTATTTGTAATTAGTGATGTGGCCTAAATGTGCCTTGTTCTTTACAATAATAACATGAAAATCATCTTTTTCTATGCATTAAAAGCATCATCAATGCACGGTGAACTCTTACCTCTTTGGCATTTCACAATGACGCTCTCTCCATGATATATGGGAAAGCATGTTTTGCTAGAAGACAAACCCCAAACACAGAAAACCCCATTGATGCGTACTTACACAACCTGAAAGTAAATTTATAAGCCACATAAGAAGAGCAAAAGTAAACATCATAACATGTTTACACAAATAAGCATATGTTAGAGAGAGAGAGATTGGAAACAGGTTTTTTTCTTTCTCGGCTCTTATTTAATTGTTGAGTGGAGATGTGAGTTGTATGCACTACACCAAAAAAGGCCTTTTG